AATCTACACTACTTGAGCATGTTTCCATATAAATAAGATGAATTATGGCTTTGTCATTCTTGAGAAGAAGATTTTTAAAGAATTTTCCTATATATGTCTATGTAAAAGTTTGGTCGGCCATTTTGGCCCCGCCCTACCCCGGGGGTCATGATTTGAACAAACTTGAATCTACACTACCTGAGCATGCTTCCGTATATATATGATGAATTATGGCTTTGTCATTCTTGAGAAGAAGATTTTTAAAGAATTTTCCTATATATTTCTATGTAAAACTTTGGTCGGCCATTTTGGCCCCGCCCTACCCCCGGGGGTCATCATTTGAACAAACTTGAATCTACACTACCTGAGCATGCTTCCATATAAATATGATGAATTATGGCTTTGTCATTCTTGAGAAGAAGATTTTTAAAGAATTTTCCTATATATTTCTATGTAAAACTTTAGTCAGCCATTTTGGCCCCGCCCTACCCCCGAGGGTCATCATTTGAACAAACTTGAATCTACACTACCTGAACATGCTTCCATATAAATATGATGAATTATGGCTTTGTCATTCTTGAGAAGAAGATTTTTAAAGAATTTTCCTATATATTTCTATGTAAAACTTTGGTCAGCCATTTTGGCCCCGCCCTACCCCCGGGGGTCATGATTTGAACAAACTTGAATCTACACTACCTGAGCATGCTCCCATATAAATATGATGAATTATGGCTTTGTCATTCTTGAGAAGAATATTTTTAAAGAATTTTCCTATATATTTCTATGTAAAACTTTGGTCGGCCATTTTGGCCCCGCCCTACCCCCGGGGGTCATGATTTGAACAAACTTGAATCTACACTACCTGAACATGCTTCCATTTAAATATGATGAATTATGGCTTTGTCATTCTTGAGAAGAAGATGTTTAAAGAATTTTCATATATATTTCTATGTAAAAGTTTGGTCGGCCAGTTTGGCCTAGCTGCAATAATGTAGCCCTCTCCGATTTTTTTTAATCTGATGTTTTCTGGAGAGGGCTACAATTCCATCGCATCTCCGTAATGGTGCAAATATTTTTTTTTAATAGGAGAGACTGCAGGCAAAATAAATTATTTTTACATTCAACTTACTTCTAATAAGACGAATTTTTTATTCACTGTCAACAGTAGACCCCGTTAAATGCGAAAAACTTGTAAAATAACTCTGCATGTTTCCTGGTAGTTTACTTCAGCAGCCATGACAGTTCACGCGTGACGTAATGAGACTTTCGCTTGAAATTTAGAACAACTGAATAAAGCAATTATCGGTGTTTATAAATGTATGTGCTGAATTTCATCACAAAAACATAGGTATATAAAACCATTTTAAGTGTTATTTTTATGCAAGCAGCGATATTTATGTTTAAAATTATAAGGGAATTCCAAAAAGATCCGCTACTATAGAACCTAAATTCTCATTGGCTGTCCCAAAATACAATCTATCAAGGTCAGTAAACATGGCGGATAAATTCGAGTTGTGATGTTGACATACACGAAAAATAAGCGATTTAGGGATCGTTCTGTTTATTTTTGCATTGCTTTACGTCTTGGATGACTACTTATTTGGAGTCAAGGTAAGAAATGTTAATAAAATAGCCATTTACTGTTAATTTGAGCCGAAATCCGTGCGGGAGCAAATCACTCCCGCAGCTGCACCATTATGGAGATCCTAAGGAGTTGTAGCCCTCTCCCAAAAAAAAAAAAAAAAAAAAAAAAGGGAGAGGGCTACATTATTGCAGCTAAGTTTGGCCCTGCCCTACCCCCGGGGGTCATGATTTGAACAAACTTGAATCTACACTACCTGAACATGCTTCCATATAAATATGATGAATTATGGCTTTGTCATTCTTGAGAAGAAGATTTTTAAAAAATTTTCCTATATATTTCTATGTAAAACTTTGGTCAGCCATTTTGGCCCCGCCCTACCCCCGGGGGTCATGATTTGAACAAACTTGAATCTACACTACCTGAACATGCTCCCATATAAATATGATGAATTATGGCTTTGTCATTCTGGAGAAGAAGATTTTTAAAGAATTTTCCTATATATTTCTACGTAAAACTTTAGTCGGCCATTTTGGCCCCGCCCTACCCCCAGGGGTCATGATTTGAACAAACTTGAATCTACACTACCTGAGGATGTTTCCCCATAAGTTTCATCTTTCCAGGCACAGTGGTTCTTGAGAAGAAGATTTTTAAAATATGCCACCAAATTTTCATTAATTCCCAATTATCTCCCCTTGAATGAGGGCGTGGCCCTTCATTTGAACAAACCTGAATCCCCTTCACCCAAGGATACTTTGTGGCAAGTTTGGTTGAAATTGGCCCAGGGGTTCTTGAGAAGAAATCGAAAATGTGAAAAGTTTACAGACAGACAGACAGACGGACAGACGGACAGACAGACGGACAGACGGACGCCGGACAAAATGTGATCAGAAAAGCTCACTTGAGCCTTCGGCTCAGGTGAGCTAAAAAGTCCCGCAAGCAAAAGGAAATAATTTTTTTTGATAAATCAATTATTAACATTTGTACATTCTTTTTTTATGCTATCCTAATAGGCTCCTTGCCACTGGACACATAATGCTTACAAATAGGAAAGTAGAACATTTAATTGCTTATTTCAACATCTGCCAGTTTGGGCCAGTTATATAAATTTTGTGATGTTGATCAAAATATATTTTAAAAAATCAATTCTTTAAAAGTCTTTCAATACATCTTCATTTTCTTAATATGTGTTAGGTGAATGTGTAGACATTGTTCTAAAATTTACTTGATGCCTAAAATTATAATTCCTATCATAAAACAGACAGGAAGTATTGGGGAGTAGGGTCAACATTTTTTCAATTAAGTGTAAAATAATTTTTCTGGCTGATACAAATGATACTACATATATTTGTATATTCTTGCCTTTTAATAGTTGAATTTTTTTTTATTTCTTCACTTCAGGTTATTGTTTATTTCTTCCTCAAATGGACTTCACTTCTCCCATAGTTTTATTCATTACATCTGATGCATAAGCAACCATTTTCTGAAGAATGATGCTTAGACTGAAAGCTATAACAGAGACCTAAACAATGTCCCTGGCAATATGCAATAGCTACCACGGGCAGTTTAAAACCTGGGGGAGGAAAATAATTTACAGTTACTTTTGAAACGAATACATAATTATCTCACCAGCATGTCATTGTGCAACAAAGTCGTCAGCATTTTATTTGTCCTTTGAACGGGTGAAACGTTTTGAATGGCACTCTTATCGATGAATTTTACACTAAACCATGCTAAATTCTTGGATCTAGCTTTATTTACCCGCCGTTTCATCTAAAAACCGGAAGTGCGAGTTCGTAAATTTGAAATCTCGATCCCGACTCAAATTTGACATCGGAAAGAAAAAAATTGTTTTATTTTTTTTCTAAAAGCTCAAAACCTTGAGCGGAGGGTTTGTAAAACTGAAAATAAAATAAATCCTGGCCTTAGATATGTAATTAGATCATTAGCATATTAACCAAGAGCAAAGGATAAGATGTTCAAAGAATTCATACATTTCACTATATAATCATTAGAGCCCCACCCTAAAACAAGAACCCCTGATGCTGGGGCCATAAAATTCACAATTTTGGTAGAGGCACTCTTGCTTATCATAACTATGTACTTAGTTAGTTTATCTAATACCCAGGAGCAGAGAACAAGATTTTCAAAGAATTAATGTATTTTCACTATATAATCAATAGAGCCCCGCCCTAATACCAGAACCCCTGACCCTGGGGCCATAAAATTCACAATTTTGGTAGAGGCACTCTTGCTCATCATAACTATGTACTTAGTTGGTTTATTTAATACCCAGGAGCAGAGAAGAAGATTTTCAAAGAAATAATGCATTTTCACTACCTACTTATTTAGCCCCGCCCTAGCACTAGAACCCCTGACCCTGGGGCCATGAATTTCACAATTATGGTAGAGGACTCATTGCTGATTACAATCATGCAAACAGTTTGACTGCTTGATGTCCAGGGGTAAAGAAGAAGATTTTTAAAGATAGCACTAATTTTAGTGGTTTTGGCCCCACCCCTCAGGCCCCAGGGGGGCAGGGATCATGAAATTCACAATTTTTGTTCCCCTTCACCCATAGATGCTTTGTACCAAATTTGGTTGAAATTGGTTCAGTGGTTGCAGAGAAGTAGCTGAAAATGTTCAAATGTTAACGCACGACGAACGACGCACGACGAACGACGACGGACGAAAACAGATAGCAATAGGTCACCTGAGTTTACTCAGGTGACCTAAAAACCAGACTTCGATCCTGATATTTATCGCTATATTAATTGAATTCACATTCGATCGGGATCAAAGTTCACTAATTGAATACTACTGAAAATTCATGGAAGATACAAACAGAAGTGTGGATTCTGTTTGATGTTGACAGGTTCACTTGCAGACATTTACGTTATTGTCTGGACAGAAAGCCCAGATTAAATTTCGTTTTATGTGTTTTTTGTATTTATCAATAACATCACAAATCAATCAAGCACAAAAGGACTTTATTTTTAGTTTTCAAGTTGACAGTATTAGTTCTTTGTTGAAAAATTTTCGGACAAGTGAATTGAAGTTCGGACAGGTAAATGTCTTGGTCACTTGTTCAAATGAACAAGTAGGAAAAAAGTTAATATCGAGCCCTGATATCTCAACAGTTAAATTAATTTTTTTTTCTTTTAATTTAAATTGATTAATTTCAATTTGTAAATTCTTTATTGAAACCATTATCACCGGTATTTAAAAAATAATTGTAAAATGAAAAATGAGAGTATTACTAATGATTTAACCTTAAATGTAAATTGAAAGTAAAAAATGAAAGTAATTTCAAATGTAAACAATGCGATCTCAACTCAAATAGATAATTTATCCGATGTATGATGCTCCTTTCTAATTGTTAAATAATTCATCTTTTGTTGTTTCTTATAACTGATTACATTTCAAGCCCATAATGTACCTGTTCTGCATGTTATCGACTCCTATTTGGGGCTCAGAGGGTACTTCTCCCGCTTTGTCCGCCATGATGGCTTGATACGAAATCTCGTGAGATGTTGTTGTAAACGATCGTTAGAGAAAGAATGTTTTTCGAGTTTGTGTGAAAAGCCTACGTCCAAAATTTAAAAGAAAACATAACGAGTTACAAAGTAAGGTTACAAATGCGTTTTATGTGGACAGTATGAGGTATTTATTAAAATGTAATTGAGGTTATATCACGTGACATAACTAACAACGAGAATTCCACCATATTTTTGGTGGCAGGTGCGAAGGTGACAATGTGAATCATCGACATACCATACGTCGTCCGTGAGAAATTTTCTAAAAACTGTCACAATTTCCAGTGATATTTTTCTAATTTTTTAGAGTGTGACGACATAGACCTTTGTGAAACAATAGAAGAGGTGCTACACAGTCTGACAATGAGATGACCAAAATATAACATGAAGAAACTGTTCCCTTTCAAAATTGATTCAGCGGGGACTCAGAACCCTTATATTGGCAAGGTTTTCACAGTAGGGAGGTTTACAGTTACAGTAGAGGATGTCATAGCAGAGGGTGAGAGCTCTTTCATGTACAAAAATTAAATAAAATGAAGTGAAAGGGGGCGTGTCTACCCCATAAAAGTTTATGGGCATCCCCCTAAAAGTTACTGCTTTTTATTTCTTTAATTCATTGTAAATTTATATTTGATCTCATCATCTGAAACGAATTTTTAATTATAGCTATCATATTTTTATAAACATTCTTACAAGTGTTCAGAATACTTTGTAAGGTGATGGATATGGGGCGGTACGCAATACAATTGGTTTAAAAGTGCAGATCTACATTTCTCACTTTTCAAATGCTGATTGCCCTGATGATATCACTGTGTTTAGTAAACATTTGTAGTCTTCTCAATTATGGTTTAATATTGCATTTTTATAGATTTTGTGCTAAACATACACTAGAATTTGATTGTTATGTATTTATAATATGCATGATAAATTGATAATATAGTTAATATTCTCTTATATATTAATTTTTCCCTACTATAACCATACGTGCAATTAAAAGTGATAATACCTACAGCCAATTTTCCAAGATCACTTTCACTCAATTATGTTATAAATTCATCATTAAAATATTGATCTTCTTTAGGTGGCTTTGCAATTGTATTCCTGGTGAAGGCACAGAATGGAAATCATTATGCACTCAAAAGATTGTTTGTAAACAATGATCATGATCTGACTGTCTGCAAAAGAGAGATTCATATAGCAGTAAGTAGAAAAAACACCATAAAAGGATGCTGATATTGTACTCAGATCCACTGGCTGTGAGTAGGATAGCCCAAGGGCTTGCCCAAGAAAATTGTTTTTGTCAAGAGTTTGATGAAAGAGGTATTGGAATCTCACTCACACCGAATAGATAAATTGATATGTTAGTTTCTAACCCCCCAACTATCCCATCCCATCATGGCCCTTAAGGTTTTAGCTGTTAACCAGTTAACCAAACCCTTGATGACTGAATGAAAACTGGAGATCATCTCACAATTTCTTTGTTAACACAGTTTTAGAATTAAGGATACTTGGCTGAATTAGATCAAAGCAAAAGCAAAGTAAAACTTTTATGATGCTAAGCCAGAAATAAAAAATCGAGGTAAAAAAGTTGTGCTCATAGATCTCAGCAATTTTACCCTATTTTGTATTGAAAAAGGTGGTAGATGGAGGATTTAGTGCAACAGATTATAACCAATAAAAAAGCTATTTTGCCTCTTCAGTAAGGAAACATTTTCAACAAAAATTTATGTAAATCTACTTAATACCTATAAATGTGAAAATAAAATTGCCTTTTAATCTTAACTGGTAATTTAATTCCACCTTTTCCATTTCAGAAAACTCTCAGTGGTCATAAGAACATCATAAGCTATGTGGACTCAAGCATTTCTATGGCACCAAACAAAGTATATGAGGTGATGCTGTTAATGCAGTACTGCAGAGGTGAGTGTAAAGAGAGATGCATATCAACTACAAGTAATTAAAAAATTTATTATGGCTTAAATTCTTGCATTGGCTTTGGTGTTGACACTGGGATGCTGTTTAAGTTTTATGAGCTGCTGCTGACATTTCCCTGTGATTATAAGCCATTCCTGGACAAAACTTGTAAGGATGATGCATATAAGGATGTGCAATACTGCACACATGTTTCAGATCCTTGATCTGACCTACATTTATTGAAGCAGGTTCATTTCCAATTTACTGAAAGCTCTATGATGATCAAACATGCATGGATGATGATGCATCTGTTGATGCACTCTACAAAATTGCTTCAAATGTTGGGTCTGACCAGTCTCTTCCAGATGAAAAAAACAGGTGATTGGACAATTGAATATTTTTGAGCAGGTCTGTCTTTAAGTATTTTTAGATCTTACCTGGACCAAACTTGTTCAAGATGTTGAATCGGGATGCACACTACCAAACATTTTTTAGCGTGTTTAATGTGAGACTTAGTCACTTTGCCATGTTTGTTTTTTAAATAGATCATGTGATACAACAGATGAATGAAAAAATCAACTCAGGCTTCTCAGAAAAAGAGGTTCTTAGGATATTCTGTGATGTATGCGAGGCAGTGGCTAGGTTACATCACTGTCAGACCCCCATAATACACCGAGATTTAAAGGTAAGGCACCAGTAATACAGAGAGGATGCACATGTAAGTGTCACAGAAAATTGTAAAGAAAGATGAAATTTAATTAAGTTAAGATTTTGAAAATATTGACCTTATTTAACATTGATTTAAATGCATTTTTAAGTAGTCAAGCAAGAAGATTTATAAGTTAATTTTAGAAATTCCAATATTTCCACTTAATTTCAATATTTTATTTTGTATAAAGAATGACAAATTCAAAATAAACTAAAGGGACCTTAATACAACAAATGACAAACTTGTAATATATTTTTCAGGTTGAGAACATTTTGGTGTCTGACAGTGGACATTATGTACTCTGTGACTTTGGGAGTGCTACTGCTAAAGCTGTCTTACCTGGTCAACAAAATGTCCAGCAGATAGAAGAAGAAATCAGAAAGTAAGATTCAGATCCATTCTGGTAGCTGTTCCCTGTCTTTCGGATTCACTACAAATATATATTGAATTATGCCTTACTGTCACATGTTTGTTTTTGTAAGAATAAACATTTTCAGCTGTACCTGTATTTTAAGTCAGTGTCTTTATGGATTATTTTAAGGTATACCACAGTTTCCTACAGAGCTCCAGAAATGGTAGATTTGTATGGAGGAAAACCAATCACCACAAAAAGTGATATCTGGGTAAGTATTCAGAGTCTATTGTGAAATAAAAGGCAAGAATTTATCATCAAAAGTATTTAGAAGAAGGTGCAATTTTATGACAATAACAGTATGAACCACTATCTGGTATACATGGTCAATGATAAATCATAAAAAAAATATATATATTGCCTGTGAAAGGTACTTTTTTGAGAGCATTATCTCTTTGTTGAACTGTTCTTTTTATATATTTTTTTGTTGACAGGCACTTGGTTGTTTGCTCTACAAGTTGTGTTTCTTCACTTTACCATTTGGTGAGAGTACATTAGCTGTCCAGAGTGGAAACTTCACCATCCCTGATGATTCACGATACTCAAAGATGATGCATTCTCTTATCGGTAAGTCATGGATTTAATTGATTTATTGTGATATGGATTTACATTATGATTTATTGTCATATAGAATAAGGGAAATTGACTTGCAGTTCTTACTGTAGCTAATAAAAGTAAAAATATGTTTTCTAGGATACATACTGGAGGTTGATCCAGAGAAGCGACCAGATATTTATCAGGTGTCGTGGCTGGCATTTAGTATGTCTCACAGAGACTGCCCTGTCCCTAACATGAATGTAGGTCATGATACTGAACAATCTTGACATGTCTAGGGCTTTATGTGTACAGTGTTAATGTATTTTTGTTTCTTTTTGATTGTTTTCTGTATGATGAATACTATCTCAAAATATAATTCCAGCCAGTATTAGATGAAGAGATTGATAAACAGAATACCATATTTTGTAGGGTGCCCCTTTGCCAGATCTGAGCAGATTACCGGTACCTCTAACAGAATCAGAATCTAGACAAGTCAAAACTTCATCTTCAAAGTAAGGAAGCTTTTCCATGAATATTCTGGATGCTGTATTTTTAGGTCACCTGAGTAAACTCAGGTGACCTATTGCTATCCGTTTTCGTCTGTCGTCGTTCGTCGTACGTCGTGTGTCGTACGTCGTTCGTAAACTTTTGAACATTTTTAACTTCTTCTCTGGAACTACTGAACCAGTTTCAATCAAATTTGGTATACAGCATCTATAGATAAAGAGGAACAAAAATTGTGAATTTCATGGTCCCTGCCCCCCTGGGGCCTGAGGGGTGGGGCCAAAACCACTAAAATTAATGCAATCTTTAAAAATCTTCTTCTTTACTCCTGGACATCAAGCAGTCAAACTGTTGACATGATTGTAATCAGCATTGAGTCCTCTACCAAAATTGTGAAATTCATGGCCCCTGGGTCAGGGGTTCTGGTGTTAGGGCGGGGCTATATAGATCATATAGTAAAAGTGCATTATTTCTTTGAAAATCTTCTTCTCTGCTCCTGGGTATTAAATAAACCAACTAAGAACATAGTTATAATGACCAAGAGTGCCTCTTCAATAATTGTGAATTTCATGGCCCCTGGGTCAGGGGTTCTGGTGTTAGGGCGGGGCTATATAGATCATATAGTAAAAGTTCATTATTTCTTTAAAAATCGTCTTCTCTTCTCCTGGGTATTAAATAAACTAAATAAGAACATAGTTATGATGACCAAGAGTGCCTCTTCAATAATTGTGAATTTCATGGCCCCTGGGTCAGGGGTTCTGGTGTAAGGGCGGGGCTATAAAGAACATATAGTAAAAGTGCATTATTTAAAAAAACGTCTTCTCTTCTCCTGGGTATTAAATAAACTAACTAAGAACATAGTTATGATGACCAAGAGTGCCTCTTCAATAATTGTGAATTTCATGGCCCCTGGATCAGGGGTTCTGGTGTTAGGGCGGGGCTCTATTGATTGTATAGTAAAAAAAAACATTAATTCTTCAAAAATCTTCTTCTCTGCTCCTTAGCATTAAACAGGCTAACTTAGTGCATAGTTATGATGACCAAGAGTGCATCCTCCAAATTGTGAATTTTATGGCCCCAGGGTCAGGGGTTCTAGGGCGGGGCTCTATTGATTATATAGTGAAAATGGATGAATTCTTTAAAAATCTTCTTCTTTGCTCCTGGGTATTAAATAAACTAAGTACAAAGTTATGATGAACAAGAGTGTCTCTTCCAAAATTGTGAATTTTGTGGCCCCTGGGTTGGGGGTTGTGATGTAAGGGCTAGGCTTTATTGCCTATATAGTGAAAATACATTGTTTCTCAAAAATCATCTTCTCTGCTCCTTGGTATTAAACAAATGAACTATGTACATAGTTATGATGAGGAATTATGCTTCTTCCAAAACTATGAATTTCATGGCCCCTGGGTCAGGGGTTCTGGTGTTAGGGTGGAGCTCTAATGATTATATATAGTGAAAATGCATGAATTCTTTGAAAATCTATTCCATTGCTCCTAGGTATTATGCGAATGATCTTAGTTTATATATTTATGATGAAGAAAGGTGCATCTAGCAAAATGATAAATTTCATGTTCTCTGGGTCAAGGATATCGGGAAGGGGGGGGGGGTAAAGTACATAGTCTGAAGATAAATATTAAATGCTTTGAAATCTGCTGTGGTATTAATCAACCGTTTATGTTGAAATAAAATTTATGATAAAATTTCCAAAATTTTGAAATGTGTGGCCCCAGGGTCAGTGGTTGCTGAAGGGTGGGGTGCACCACTAGCTGGTTATAAAGTGAAAATGCATTTTCTCTTTCTTACTCTGATCTAACTCTGGGTATTAAGTAACTAGAGTAAGCATTCTAAAAAGTGTATAATTACACTTTCTATAATTCTATAAAGTGTATAATTATGATAAGCAATGGCGCTTCTTTCAAAATCTTGAATTTCATGGAATCTAGTTTAAAACACAAACCAAATTTAATATTTGGAAAGTTGTTTCATGATAATCAGGTGACCTATAAGGCCCGTGGGCCTCTTGTTTGTCAATAATTTCTGGTATTTGTTGATGCTTATACATGCATATGTGAATGTGTTTGGGAACTGTTATTTTAACTTGCAGAAATACCCCAGTTCAGCCAATTGAGAGCACAACTGTGACCCCAAGGTCACGACCTAAAGGTCAAGCAATGCCACAGACCAATTCTCTGAATTTACCTATACAAACATCTGTAGTGCCAAGAAAACGTCCGACACCGACAAACCCAACCCCTCCCGTACAACCAAATAAAGCAGGTCAGATATTCAGTACTAAGGAATAGGACTGCTTATTGATTTTGTTTAAAATGATACCTCTGCAGGATGTTTTCAAAGGATTAGATGCAAGATGCTAGATTATCTTAAGTCAATATACATGTATTTGATGTATGAATTTAAGGAGGAAAACAAAACGATTTTGTTAATATTTCATCACATAAATGTCTGTTCCATGTGATCTTCAATAGCAAAGGTACTGGATTGGAATACAGAGGCTTGAGATAATTTTTAGCTCACCTCAACGAAGTTGGGGGAGCTTATGTAATACCCTCGCAGAGCTGCCAACATTCTGAAATCACAAATAGTAAGGCGGGGTCTAGGGAACACCTAGGCCCCCTGCCGCTGAAGATGTTTTGTAAATGGACATCCAATCTGAGGCATGTTTCCTTTTTGTTTACTTTAAAACATTGACATGAATGTGATCGGCCTTCTAAAACTGAAACGATGATACTTGTAAGCAAGCATTGTAAAACTTATAAATAATATTAGTAGAATTTTATAGACTGCCAGCTATGAAAATACAAGAATTATAAACTTTGAACGAGAATCGGTGTCGGCGTCGGCGTCCCAGGTTAAGGTTAAGTTTTTCGGAGCAGTTTTCTTTTTAATTACTTCTGTGTCCTATACTGATTAGACATGCATGGAAAATGGTTTTAGTGTGTTTTATTGTACCAGACAAAGTTTCAGATGCTGCAATTTCAGCAAAGGAATTACCAGGTTAATGTTTTTGGAGCAGGTTAACATTTTTGGTGCAGTTTTTGGTGTGGGTTTCATTTCCAAGTAACTATCAGGCCTATGTTGACCAAACTTGCATGGATGATACATCTAAGGATGCATACTACCGGGATTGCTTCGGATGCTGAATCTGACTTACATTTTCCGGTTGAGTGAACAGGTTAAAGTTTTTGGTGCAGGTTTCATTTGCAAGTAACTATAAGCCCTATGTTGACCAAACTTGCATGGATGATACATCTAAGGATGCATACTACCGGGCTTGCTTCGGATGCTGAATCTGACCTACATTTTCCGGTTGAGTGAACAGGTTAAAGTTTTTGGTGTAGGTTTCATTTCCAAGTAACTATAAGCCCTATGTTGACCAAACTTGCATGGATGATACATCTAAGGATGCATACTACCGGGTTTGCTTCGGATGCTGAATCTGACCTACATTTTCCAGTTGAGCGAACAGGTTAATGTTTTTGGTGCAGGTTTCATTTGCAAGTAACTATAAGCCCTATGTTGACCAAACTTGCATGGATGATACATCTAAGGATGCATACTACCGGGCTTGCTTCGGATGCTGAATCTGACCTACATTTTCCAGTTGAGTGAACAGGTTAAAGTTTTTGGTGCAGGTTTCATTTCAAAGTAACTATAAGCCCTATGTTGACCAAACTTGCATGGATGATACATCTAAGGATGCATACTACCGGGCTTGCTTCGGATGCTGAATCTGACCTACATTTTCCAGTTGAGCGAACAGGTTAATGTTTTTGGTGCAGGTTTCATTTGCAAGTAACTTTAAGCCCTATGTTGACCAAACTTGCATGGATGATACGTCTAAGGATGCACACTACCAGGCTTGCTTCGGATGCTGAATCTGACCTACATTTTCCGGTTGAGTGAATAGTTAAAAGTTTTTGGTGCAGGTTTCATTTCCAAGGAACTATGAGTTCTTTAATGACCAGTCTTGCATAGATGATACATCTAAGGATGCATACTTCCAGGCTTGCTTCGGAAGCTGAATCTGACCTACTTTTTGTGGATGAGTGAAAATGTTAGTTTTAATGCATGTTTCATTTCCAATAAACTATGAGCCCTATAATGAGCAAACTTGCATGGATGATACATCTAAGGATGCACACTAATGGACTTGCTTCGGATGCTGAATTGGACATACATTTTTCAGATAATAGACAAGGTAAAAGTTATGGTTGCAGGTCTATTACCAAAAACTATAAGGCTTATATAACATTGTATAAACCAAACTTTCACAAATGCTGCATCAAGAGATGAAAACTCTCAAATTTGCTTCAGATGCTGGATTTTCATTACATTTTCATGAAGAAGAAGTAGTTTAAATTTTTTATGTAGGTCTATTTCAAAGTATCAGATCAAAATTGCTTTTAAAAATATTTTCATTTTTGGAATGTATACTTTTTGTTGGTTAATTGTGTGACTTTGCCTTACTTAAAGACAACATTCGTTGAGGTGAGCTCTGTAATCTCTGATTACCTATGTTTTTCTTTTCATTTGGTACCATGTGAGCTTTAAATGTATAAAAGATTCATAGAGGGATGGGGATGTAATGTTAGAGCTGGGATAAATCACAGGTCATTGTATTGCTTAAACCTGAGTTACAAAAAATTTGGGATGTTAAAAAACTTAAGGTAAAGGAACTCCTTTCATAGGGTACCAAAATTCACCGAAAAAAACCTTTTTAATCAAATTAATAAAAGTTGACTTTCTATTTATTTCTTTTCTCAAAATAATCTATATTACTACCAAAGTTTATTCTTAAATTCTGTATACCGTATAAGTGGAAATTTTAGGGAGTCACAAATTTAGTGATTTTTCCTTAAAAATTGGTAATTTATTTTTAGCGAGAGGTAATTTTAGCGATTGTAAAATGCTTACGAAAGAAGCTATTACAAATAAAATGCAATTAATATTTAGCGATATTCAATTTTAGCAATCCCAGGACCCTCGCTAATATTGCCAAAATTAAATCCTCGCTAAAAATTCTACTTATACATTACTTTCCCAGATATGCCAAAATCAATTCCAAAATCGGCTTTGTTTTTTCCTTAATTTTTCTGTAAATTCAATTAAAGGTATGTATTAAAGGCTTGTGAAGTAAGTTAAGAATAAGTGAATATAAATTCATGATGAGACTACAAACAAGGGGACTAAAGAGTAACTGTGAGGATGCAGAGAAATTGAGAGGATACAGAATGATTGTGTGGAGTCATAATCATAGAGAGAAATTATGGGGATACAGAGTGCTTGTGAAGATAGAGAGTGATTGTGAGGATACAGTGTGATTGTGAGGATACAGAGAAATTACTAGGATACAGGGTGATTGTGAGGATACAGAGTGATTGTGAAGATACAGAGAAATTACTAGGATACGGGGTGGTTGTGAGGATACAGAGTGATTGTGAGGATACAGAGAAATTACTACGATACAGGGTGATTGAGAGGATACAGAGTGATTGTGAAGATAGAGTGTGATTGTGAGGATACAGAGTGATTGTGAAGATACAGAAAAATAACTAGGATACAGGGTGATTGTGAGGATACAGAGTGATTGTGAAGGTAGAGTGTGATGGTGAGGATACAGAGTGATTGTGAAGATACAGAGAAATTACTAGGATACAGGGTGATTGTGAGGATACAGAGTGATTGTGAGGATAAAGAGAAATTACTAGGATACAGAGTGATTGTGAGGATACAGAGTGATTGTGAGGATACAGAGAAATTACTAGGATACAGGGTGATTGTGAGGATGCAGAGTGATTGTGAGGATACAGAGAAATTACTAGGATACAGGGTGATTATGAGGATACAGAGTGATTGTGAGGATACAGAGTGATTGTGAAGATACAGAGAAATTACTAAGATACAGGGTGATTGTGAGGATACAGAGTGATTGTGAAGATACAGAGAAATTACTAGGATACAGGGTGATTGTGAGGATGCAGAATGATTGTGAGGATACAGAGTGATTGTGAAGATACAGAGAAATTACGAGGATACAGTGTGATGGTGAGGATACAGAGTGATTGTGAAGATACAGAGAAATTACTAGGATACAGGGTGATTGTGAGGATACAGAGTGATTGTGAGGATACAGAGAAATTACTAGGATACAGGGTGATTGTGAGGATACAGAGTGATTGTGAAGATAGAGTGTGATGGTGAGGATACAGAGTGATTGTGAAGATACAGAGAAATTACTAGGATACAGGGTGATTGTGAGGATACAGAGTGATTGTGAGGATACAGAGAAATTACTAGGATACAGAGTGATTGTGGGGATACAGAGTGATTGTGAAGATACCGGGTAGAATGTGATGGTGAGGATACAGAGTGATTGTGAAGATACAGAGAAATTACTAGGATACAGGGTGATTGTGGGGATACAGAGAAATTACTAGGATACAGTGTGATTGTGAGGATACAGAGAAATTACTAGGATACAGAGTGATTGTGAGGATACAGAGTGATTGTGAGGATACAGAGAAATTACTAGGATATAGGGTGATTGTGAAGATACAGAGTGATTGTGAAGATAGAGTGTGATGGTGAGGATACAGAGTGATTGTGAAGATACAGAGAAATTACTAGGATACAGGGTGATTGTGAGGATACAGAGTGATTGTGAGGATACAGAGAAATTACTAGGATACAGGGTGATTGTGAGGATACAGAGTGATTGTGAGGATACAGAGTGATTGTGAAGATACAGAGAAATTACTAGGATACAGGGTGATTGTGAGGATACAGAGTGATTGTGAAGATACAGAGAAATTACTAGGATACAGGGTGATTGTGAGGATGCAGAATGATTGTGAGGATACAGAGTGATTGTGAAGATACAGAGAAATTACGAGGATACAGTGTGATGGTGAGGATACAGAGTGATTGTGAAGATACAGAGAAATTACTAGGATACAGGGTGATTGTGAGGATACAGAGTGATTGTGAGGATACAGAGAAATTACTAGGATACAGGGTGATTGTGAGGATACAGAGTGATTGTGAAGATAGAGTGTGATGGTGAGGATACAGAGTGATTGTGAAGATACAGAGAAATTACTAGGATACAGGGTGATTGTGAGGATACAGAGTGATTGTGAGGATACAGAGAAATTACTAGGATACAGAGTGATTGTGGAAGAAGAATTTTTCAAAGAATTAATGCATTTTTATGATGTAATCAATACAGCCCCGCCCTAACAACACAACCCCTGACCCTAGGGCAATAAAATTCACAATTTTGGAAGAGGCACTCTTGCTAATCATAACTATGTACTTTGTTGTTGTTTTTTTTCAAAGAAATAATGCATTTTCACTATATAATCTATATAGCCCCACCCTAGCACTAGAACCCCTGACCCTGGGGCCATGGGGATACAGAGTGATTGTGAAGATACCGGGTAGAATGTGATGGTGAGGATACAGAGTGATTGTGAAGATACAGAGAAATTACTAGGATACAGGGTGATTGTGAGGATACAGAGTGATTGTGAAGATACAGAGAAATTACTAGGATACAGGGTGATTGAGAGGATACAGAGTGATTGTGAGGATACAGAGAAATTACTAGGATACAGGGTGATTGTGAGGATACAGAGTGATTGTGAGGATACAGAGAAATTACTAGGATACAGGGTGATTGTGAAGATACAGAGTGATTGTGAAGATAGAGTGTGATGGTGAGGATACAGAGTGATTGTGAAGATACAGAGAAATTACTAGGATACAGGGTGATTGTGAGGATACAGAGTGATTGTGAGGATACAGAGAAATTACTAGGATACAGGGTGATTGTGAGGATACAGAGTGATTGTGAAGATAGAGTCTGATGGTGAGGATACAGAGTGATTGTGAAGATACAGAGAAATTACTAGGATACAGGGTGATTGTGAGGATACAGAGAAATTACTAGGATACAGGGTGATTGAGAGGATACAGAGTGATTGTGAAGATAGAGTGTGATGGTGAGGATACAGAGTGATTGTGAGGATACAGAGAAATTACTAGGATACAGGGTGATTGTGAGGATACAGAGTGATTGTGAGGATACAGTTTGATGGTGAGGATACAGAGTGATTGTGAAGATAGAGAATAATAATGATGATACATTGTGATTGTGAGGATACAAAGTGATTGTGCCAGTGGGGAGTCATAATCATACAGAGAAATCATGAGGATATACAGAGTGCTTGTGAAGATAGAGAGTCAGTCGTGATTATGAAGATAGAGAGTGATTCTGAGGATAGAGAGTTATTATGAGGATACAGTTTGATTGTTAGGATACAGAGTAATTGTGAAGATATAGAGATATTATGAGGATACAGAGAAATTATGAGGATACAGAGAAATCATGGGGATACAGAGTGCTTGTGAGGATACAGAGTACTTGTGAAGATAAAGAGTTATTGTGAGGATACAGAGTGATTTTAATGGACTTTTGCGAGAAGCACCGACTTTTACAGTTTAAGGTTTGTTAGTTGACATTTAAACCTGTATCATGACATATAAGAGGTACAGAATTGATAATTGGTAAGAAAACCAATATCCTCAAGATCACTCAGTATTCTAACAATTACTCTGTATCCCCACAATCACACTGTATCCTCACAATCCCTCTGTATCCTCATAAGCACTTTGTATTCTTCACAAGCACTCTGTATCCTCATGATTTCTCTGTATGATTATGACTCCCCACAATCACTTTGTATCCTCACAATCATAATGTATCATCATTATTATTCTGTATCTTCACAATCACTCTTTATCCTCACAATCACTCTGTATCCTCACAACTCTATACCTTCACAATTACTCTGTATCCTCACGATCACCCAGTATTCTAACAATCTCTCTGTATACTCATAATCACTCTGTTTCCTCACAATCACTCTTTATTTTCACAGTGAATATGTCCTCTTAATCACTCTGTATCTTCAGAATCATTCTGTTATCTGTATCCTTAATATGGCTCTTTATCATCTCAATTACTACTATTATTAAAGAGCAATTGTAAGGATACAGAATGATTTTGAGGATAAAGAGTAATTGTAAAGATGCATAATTGATTGTGAGGATACAATTTAATAGTTAGGATAGTCCGATACAGATTTTCTGTGAGGATACAGAGTTTCTTTGAAGATACAGAAAGATTGATGGGATACAGAGTGATTGTAAGGATATATACTAAGGATATATAGTGACTGTCGGGATACAGAGTGATTGTAAAGATAAAAGTGATCGTGAGCCTACAGAGTAATTGTATTCATGAAGGCAGATGTGCCTGAACATACCATCAGGGTTTGGGGGGTCTGACATAACCTTTAAGTTTTACTATAGATACTACAGATATTAATGTTCATTGAAAGACTCCCCTCCCCCTTTTTTTTGCAGTCAAATAAGGGTGGTGCAGTATGTTTGAGTGAAAGAAAATGATACTGAAAGACATTGGAACCTCCAGCCGCCCCCTCTCGAAATAGGATTCTCGAGTTTGATAAGTTTTCCTTCTTTTCTTGTCAAGTTTTTTTTCAGATAGGTTGATTTTTCCCCTGAGGCTGAACCCCCCCCCCCCTTTTCCCCTCTAAAACGATGTTACGTCACTGCTAGGCTATTTGATAGGTCTCTTTGATTAAGCCTTCTAAAGAATATACAATGCCCTTTTTAAAATTAAAAGTTCATAAATATTGAAAAGCTGTTGAATAAAAACTATTATTTATTAAATATCGCCTTTAAATCTCCCGCTAAAAAAAAGTTATATTATCCGGGCTTTTCCTGCTAAAACTGACGTGGCTTTGTTTTCGTTCAAGCCGGAAGTTCAGATAAGCTAAAGATCAACATTTTTTCATAACATCGAAATTGGTAAGATCAGGAATTATTATGCATTTAATTGTAAAAATGTCTTATTTAACATTTGTAAATTGCATTTGTATAATAATGTTATAGTATAACGATATCACTGAGGCTTGAAAATGGAGTTAAAAATCAACATTGCATCACGCCTAGGGTCTGGATCTGCAATGTTGACATTGACTTGAAAAAAGCTGATATTTATCCATAGCTAGGCTTCGTTGATTGATCAGTCAGTTGGCCATTGCCAGGTGAAAACTATTGATAATTTCTAATTTCATGAGAGAACAGTTCCTACATTTGTCAATATTAGGCATATTGCTTTCAGTCCACAACAGAAAAAGGAATGAAGTTGACATGACTTTCCACATTGTAAGTGGTAGCTGCAGCTTACGAAAGAACTGACATTTAAAGACATAGCCCACTTCATCAAAGGTAAGTCTCCTATAAGTAGTGTTATTGAGCAATTATCATTGTCTGTCTTGTATTGAAGCTTCAGTCCAAAGCAAATCTTCTCTGCGTGGATTTTCTAATGCCTTTGGTTCTTTCTTGTATTGAAGCTTCAGGTCCAAAGCAAATCTTCTCTGCATGGATTTTCTAATGCCTTTGGTTCTTCCTGGAAACATGAT